TTCATGCCGTTCCTTTTTACTTTACATATTTTAGTCTTGTGGGGGTTCTCTTGCAGTTAGTTGCAGCCCTTGTTTGTACTATAATGGACCTTTGGGAAGCTGTACACTTCTCCTGTTCGAAACAAGTAGCTTCAGCTCATTTTTCTTTATGACACCTCTCCTTTTAGTTCAGCTTTCTTCTGATTGGCTGCCTCTTGAAAACAAAAGACTTAAACGCTAGGAAACTGGGCTGCTGTGTGCCAAGAGTAGCAAAAAAACCAAACCCATTTTGGCTCAAAGGCATTACTTGTACATGTGCTGACTCATTATTTAAAACTCTTAAAGCTAATTATCACACTATGTCAGTAAAAGAAAATATAGAAAAATCCATAAAGTTTGACCAGTTGATCGAGTTAAAAGTCATTTAATGAGTGTTTCACTGAGATTGTTACTTCAGAGGAGCATATATTCAGGAATGCAGTGCTCTTGAATTTGACAGGATCTTTCCTTTTATTCAGGTCCGAAAAATCTTAAGAGATCTTCTATTGTAATGTAGGCTAGACACATTTGTATAACAACTCTCATCAAAACAGTCTCTTAGCCTCTTTCTGTCATCCAGTTGCAAGGAATCGTGATTTTTGACCGTGCTTTAAAATTTAATAAACAGATTAGCTCTGTAGTTAAGACAAACTTCTTTCAACTAAGGCTCCTCACTAAGGTCAGAGCCTTCCTCCTACCACATGACTTTGAGAGTAATACACACTTTTATTTCCTCTCGTTTAGACTATTGCATGTCTTTATAAGTTGGCTGTGATCTAATATGACACCTGCAAGCTGTTCAAAATGCTTCAAAATTCTTTGTTCACAGTTTTGCTTTTTGTTAGGTTCAGATTTTTTCAGTAGTTCTATAGTATTCTTTGCCCTCTGTTCAGTTTGAGCATTATCCTGTATGTAAATTTGATGTTTCAGCATTTCCTTATTTGGTATCAGCGTGGCCATGGCTCAGAAGGTAGAGTCACTAATCAGAAGGTCAGTGGTTCTATGCCAGTCTGTTCCAGTCTGTACCTACCACAGGTGTTGCTCAAGTATCCTCGAGCACTGAATGCCTAGTTTCTCATCACAGTGGTAATGTTAGATAGAAAGCACTTGGGAATGGAAGAAAGTATTTGTATGAGTGAAAATGGCTTTTAGTATGAATCACTTTGGGTGCTCAAGCAGAGAAGAAATGTGATATAAAAGAAGCAATCAGTATTATCAAGCATTTGTTTTTGAATTTTATGTGTTTTGCTTCCTGTCCCATTGTTTAGATCAGCCATCCCCAAACTCAAGAGTGCTGTGGGCCACTCAAGAACCAGAAAGTGCGGCCCACCCAGTTTAAATCTTCACTCTAATTAAAAGACAAGTGAAACTGATGTTTTGCCTTTTTTATTCAAAAAACATAAACAACACAGGCTGTTGGCTATAAATTGCTAATGCTACCCAGGCCACTATGTGACCCGTCTGTTACTACACACAAACCTCAATATAACAGCAGCAAATTTAGAATCGGAGTAATGAGTAATATCACAAATTTTAACAGTTTTTGTTTAAGTTTTATATCAATCAATACATATATTAATAGTAGATAAATATCTCACTGTACGTACATGTGAGTCATTTTAAACTGAATTCCTGTTAGTACTGTGGCCCACCTACAGTAACTTCGCAGCCCACCAGGGGGCTCACTCTTTTGCAAACAAGTGGTCTTGATTAAATGCAGCTGTGTCTCCTTACCCTGCTGTCTCTATTTCCCTGATTACTCTCATATGTATAAATCATCCTGTTCTTCTCCTCACTCCTGTTAGCTTTTTGTTAAGCCCTCTTTTGTGTTTGTTAAATGATTAAGAACTTAGTTGGATTTAGTTTGTCTTTATCCTTACGGACTCCTCATAGTAGATTTCATATCAATCTTAAAAAGATGTGCTTTTTCTGTCCTCCTGCTTCTTCTTTTTTTGTTTTATATCTGGATTTAATTCCATGCACATCTTAACAAGTAGAAACAGAGACCTGTCTCTGTTGTGATAAAGAGTGAACCTTGCTGTTTTGGAGCACGTTTTTAAAGTTAGTTTTCTTCCAGTATTTGTCTCTTAATTCTGAACAATCTGTCTGTACCTACCACAGAGAAAAGCCCCCATAACACATGTTGCCAGTATGCTGTGCTTGACGCGCATAGTTCTTTGTGTGTGTGTGTGTCTGTGTTTTGAGTCCTTGAAATGATGTTTGGCAGACTTTGAGTGGGTTTTATATACTTTTTCTTGTCAACCTTCTGTCTGCCCATTAATTGATAAGTGCAGCTGAGTTGGTCGCCCATACAACAGGTTCTCCCTACAGAGATCTTCAATAACTGCTGGGTTCATAGCAAAGACTCAACACAAAAGATGGATTTAGAAATTCTGTTTAAAAATAAAGCCAATGGAGAAGTTTCATAAAACTGCAGTCTTTCTAATGGCAAAGAGTGGATGAGTCCTCTCCCAAAATCAGTTGGCTTGTATAAAAGTCTGAGGGTAAAACAAATAAATGCACCTCTTGACCATGTTCGTGCCTTTCCAATCATTTTGAAGGCAAACGCCTCAAGATAATGTCAGTTTTACTGTATTAAAGGTTTATCACAGGAGTGTTCATTTAGCATTTGGTCACTAATGTTAAAAAAACAAACAAAAAATGTTGATCACAAAAATATGAAGCTTACATAAAGTTCTATTCCTATAATTTTTCCAAAATACTGTCCAATGGTCTGGTAACTCATCTAGAAGTGTACCTATAAAATATTATTTCCTAGATCTGATACCAGGCTTCAGGAAATTGTACAAATAAACTTTACAATGTGTATTAATGATTAATTTAATCAGTCAAATGTATTTAAAGGTGAAGCGTTTGACTTGATTTCTAAAGGATTGTTCTGCTCGACGAGGAAGAAAAACAGACTAAAGTGACTGAGCTGGAGCATTGGAGTGGTTTTCCTTTTTTATTCAGTGCAGATGTGACAGTTGCCTTACATCAGCAGGTCTTGGGTTTGAATCTAGCTTGGACATTGCTGTGTTGAGTTTGCATGTTGTCCCTGTGCCTGCATGTGCTCTGTCTTCGGCTTCTTCCCACTCTCCAAAGATATGCTTGTTACGCTAATTTGTGATTTTTCTAAATTGACCATAGATGTGTATGTGAGAGCATTTCTGTCTTAAGTCCAATTACGGCTCCCATGACTCTGAATTAGATAAATAATGGAGCAAATGGATTGATGTGTGGATACTCATATCTATGCATAAAGCTCTCAATTTTCAGTGGCCAAAAGATTGTGATGTCAATTCAGAACAATGTGAGGGCTTGATGATCAGGATGAGTGCACCAAGTGCCCTCTGAATGCCAGGTAAAGAAGCTTGTAGCTGTGAAAGAAATCACTTGCTGTCTCTCATGTCTCCATTCAGAGTGAAGAAGTGAAGAGGATAGATAGTAACAGCATTTAAATCAACTCAAGATGTAGAGTGGGACTGCAGTCCTTCCATTTTTTTTCAAGTCATGGAGATTTTTATAAGGGATCATCAGTGTGACAGAATGAACCAACATTTTAGTCATGGCTCATACAGCTCTGCTGAAATTTGAAGAGACCAAAAAAAAGTGAGACAAAAGGCAGGTTCAAATATAACACATAGTAAAAAAAGAGACCACTGGGAAGCAATGATGTAACAGTGACAATTTTGTATGGTGTGTTATGCCTAACATCATCAGTTTTGTGGATTGTCAAGAAAAGAAAAGGTGACAGAGGTCATTGTAGATATGCCCAGACTGGTTGGAGCTGACAGAAAGGTAAGTTCACTTTACAAAAGTGCTGAACAGAAAAGGTTCTCCACATGCAAAATCCATCCAGTCTTGTGAAGAATGGGCTTAAAAAACAAAAGACTATGTCAGCCACAAACAGAAGCCTGAGTCTGCAGTGGGCAGAGGCTAAATAAAAATGGACTTTAAAAGACTTCTGCAATCCATGGACCCGCCTGGGGTCAACAATCCAGGCCGCTGATTGTGATGTGTTTTTTTTCTTTTTTCTGCACACTTTGACGCCCCTTAATTGCAATGAATCATGGTTTGAAGGGCACAGTCTCAGTGTTGTTGTAACCATGTGCATCCTATTATGACCACAGTTTACCAGCTCATAATGGCTGCTTCCAGCTGGGTAACACACCATGTCACACAAGTCAGCACTTCAGTTTTAAAATATTAAATGTTCGATACAATTTTGCATTATTAAAGGTGACTTTTATAATGATATCAATTTTAATAGCAGGAAATAAACTAGATGGATAATTATTTTATTTTTCTCTTTTATTCCACATTTTTCAAGTAACCTATATTTGACAGCAGCATAATAAAACTGGAAATTCCATTTTTATTAAACCACCATAATATTTGTAGGGGCCCCCATATCTACACGCCTATAAACAAAATTCTGGAGGCGCCCCTGTGACCTTGGTCTCTTTAGCACTTTTACAGAAGAGTTTTGGTATCGTAGCGCTATCGTGCTTTACTTTCATGTTAAAATGATTAAACGATAGATTTAATTTGATGTAAAACGCTTTCACACGGCATTTCCAGACCAGGAAAGCCGTAAGAAGGAGATTGGTCATGATTGCCACATCTTAAAGGTACGTTAATGCATTGTTTCCAATTCACCTAGCCCACCACTGTGCTTATGGTCGCAAGATGACAAGAGACATGCATCTGGCACGTGCTTGGCGCACTTGATTGTCACCTGTGTCAGCTTCGAATTGCCTTTATATGTGGTCAACAGCTGCTTGCTTCCTGAATGCATACTGCAACTTAATTAGGTAAATCTTTCCAAATGTATCATTTAGGTAATGTAGTTGATCATTAACATAGATTAGTTAAAGATATCGGGGATTGGATTATACGAATGTACTGTGTACCATGACGACAGGGTGGGGGAGATAGAGAGGGAGTGTGAGTGCGGTGCAGCTTCTGGATCACACTGTTTGACGGTGATGAGAAGTTGCGGCAGTGGGAAATGGACGGAATGAAACCGGGTTTTAATCACCGCGCATCTGGCTCTCCGAGTGCGCGCAGTTTACGTCTGACATGAGTTCGGACTGCGAGAGTTACTACACCGAAGAAAACGTGCTCGTGGAGAACTTCACTTGTCCGAAAGCGGACGGTGACACCACGGCACTCTACTGCTGCGGGTTCAGTGACTTGAAGTACTGCTGCGCTGACCCCAACAGCTTTTTCCCTTACGAATATGGATACATGTGGTGGCTGAGGTAAGAGCATGTAAACTCTTAAATCACTGATGAGTGTTTCATAGAATTTTCCGATTTATAGATGGTACATGACATTGATGTAAATCAACATGTATCAGGCAATCTCCAGAGCGCAGTGAGAGCAGGAAGCATGCGATGCCAGTTTTCTGGCATCTCTTGGATTAAACAGAACCGCAGAGGGAAATATAAGGTAAACGCGTGGATGGGTTGTAAAGCGCAGCATCATTTAGTGTTCCTATTAGTGCTTTGTATTTAAGAGCCAACTTGCTGATGACATTTTGCGTCTCGTGTCTGTTTAACTCCAATCATGGTAATTGGCTGTTATAATGAGAGACTATAGACTAGAGGGAGTTTTGAGACAGAGAACACGGGTAACCTTTAGAACAATTTAATAGCGCAGAGACGAATTTCAATGAATCTGAAGTTTTAACTGCAATACGGTGCAGAGGAAATTATGAAGGTGTACCACAAACAAGCAAGCAAATGTGGGAAGATAAATTAATGACTTATGCGCTGCTCTCAGGCATGCACGCGCATACTGTAATTAATCATTTAAAGTAAATAAATTGAAACTGAAATCAGAAACACGGAAATAAAAATATAAGAAAAAAAAGTGTAAATGTTCAAATCTGATGTAACTTCTAAAACAGTAAATTAGAACTGTTGAGTTTGTTTGTTTGTTTGTTTGTTTGTTTGTTTGTTTGTTTGTTTGTTTGTTTGTTTGTTTGTTTGTTTTGTTTTGTTTTTTGTGCTCAGGGGCCCCTCTATGCTTGATGTTCAAGAGATATGGTTAAACCAAAATTTGCCCCCAGGGTTATTATACATAATTGGATCATTTCTGCAACTTGTGTTATGACTCATAAGCCACAACATAAAATGGATGCTGACCCTGGAGGAAAACAGGGGCTTTGTGTCAACTGCAACCAAGAGAGCATGACTGGCATGGCATGGTGGCCATATTAAGTTGCCATAGGCAATTCAAGTTGTTGACAATTGTCAATTAAGCCCAAGCACCTAGACACTCTTGCAATGCCAGTAGGGATGTAGAGGGGCCACATTGTCATGTTTCAGTTTTCCTATTTTGGGTATTTAAGATTTGTGATTATGTTCTTATTTTGTTCTCAAAATTAATGTAACATATTTCATAGCCCATTATTTTTCTATTTCCTTTTTAAAAATATTTGACAGTAAAATATTACATTATCCTCCATTGTTCAACAGTGGGGAGATTCACATACCTAAACCTTGGAAAAGAACATCATCAAAAGAGAGTGCAACATCACCTGTTCCGCACAAAAATCTCAGTAGCTGTGTATGTGTAAAATCTATCTATGCTTTCATGTCTGTGGGAGTTAAGGTCAGTGAAACTAGCCAACAGCGGACACCATATGGCTACTCTGCATCATTATATGTCATTATTTGTAATAAGAATTTCAGTGAAACACTGGTGCTTTAACACTTTTAAGCCACAGAGTATGCATTCATATCATCATGCAGGAAACAGAGAGCATAACTCGCATACTCTGCTGCTCAGGTGCAAAAATCGAATGTTTAGGACATCTTGTTCCTTCCTATGAGAATGTGGTAAATGTTCTTGTAGTCTTTAGTGTGGGGGAGAGAACAGAGAATAATAATCAGGCTTCTATTCTGTGATTTTTTTATTTTTTATTTTTTACTTCAAGTACATTCTATACTCTGGATTCTCAGACAGTAAAGTAAAATGTTAATTAGGAAAGATGGTGGTTTTCATCAGTTCTCACATTCTGCCTGCATACACTGCATATATACATATACTGGCATTTTCATGATGCTGCAATTAATTATGTAATGTGTTAATTAACTATAAATGTTCTGCATAAACAGTGTTTCCAACTGAGAGGCACCTTTTCAGGTTTCGAGGGGCACATCCAAAGGTGTTTTTAAAGACGTGTTTCAGTTGAAAAAGAAAAGTTTTGAGAAGAGGTGTCAAACGTAAAGGCCTGGGGGCCAGAAAAAGCCTGGGCAAGATGCCCACTGGACATCTTTGGAAAACGTGAAGGAGGGCATACATTTTTAACAATATTTTCATAAATTTTACAGCTTGTTCTGCTGACAAACACTTTCCATTTATACACACCAACAGTAATAAAGTAATAGATAAACAATTAACAAAAAACAATAGACATTGTTTACAGTGTATTCAAATTGAAACAAATACAGTGGGGCAAAAAAGTATTTAGTCAGCCACCGATTGTGCAAGTTCCCCCACCTAAAATGATGACAGAGGTCAGTAATTTGCACCAGAGGTACACTTCAACTGTGAGAGACAGAATGTGAAAAAAAAATCCATGAATCCACATGGTAGGATTTGTAAAGAATTTATTCGTAAATCAGGGTGGAAAATAAGTATTTGGTCAATAACAAAAATACAACTCAATACTTTGTAACATAACCTTTGTTGGCAATAACAGAGGTCAAACGTTTACTATAGGTCTTTACCAGGTTTGCACACACAGTAGCTGGTATTTTGGCCCATTCCTCCATGCAGATCTTCTCGAGAGCAGTGATGTTTTGGGGCTGTCGCCGAGCAACACGGACTTTCAACTCCCGCCACAGATTTTCTATGGGGTTGAGGTCTGGAGACTGGCTAGGCCACTCCAGGACTTTCAAATGCTTCTTACGGAGCCACTCCTTTGTTGCCCGGGCGGTGTGTTTTGGATCATTGTCATGTTGGAAGACCCAGCCTCGTTTCATCTTCAAAGTTCTCACTGATGGAAGGAGGTTTTGGCTCAAAATCTCACGATACATGGCCCCATTCATTCTGTCCTTAACACGGATCAGTCGTCCTGTCCCCTTGGCAGGAAAACAGCCCCATAGCATGATGTTTCCACCCCCATGCTTCACAGTAGGTATGGTGTTCTTGGGATGCAACTCAGTATTCTTCTTCCTCCAAACACGACGAGTTGAGTTTATACCAAAAAGTTCTACTTTGGTTTCATCTGACCACATGACATTCTCCCAATCCTCTGCTGTATCATCCATGTGCTCTCTGGCAAACTTCAGACGGGCCTGGACATGCACTGGCTTCAGCAGCGGAACACGTCTGGCACTGCGGGATTTGATTCCCTGCCGTTGTAGTGTGTTACTGATGGTGACCTTTGTTACTTTGGTCCCAGCTCTCTGCAGGTCATTCACCAGGTCCCCCCGTGTGGTTCTGGGATCTTTGCTCGCCGTTCTCATGATCATTTTGACCCCACGGGATGAGATCTTGCGTGGAGCCCCAGATCGAGGGAGATTATCAGTGGTCTTGTATGTCTTCCATTTTCTGATGATTGCTCCCACAGTTGATTTTTTCACACCAAGCTGCTTGCCTATTGTAGATTCACTCTTCCCAGTCTGGTGCAGGTCTACAATACTTTTCCTGGTGTCCTTCGAAAGCTCTTTGGTCTTGGCCATGGCGGAGTTTGGAGTCTGACTGTTTGAGGCTGTGGACAGGTGTCTTTTATACAGATGATGAGTTCAAACAGGTGCCATTCATACAGGTAACGAGTGGGGGACAGAAAAGCTTCTTACAGAAGACGTTACAGGTCTGTGAGAGCCAGAGATTTTCCTTGTTTGAGGTGACCAAATACTTATTTTCCACCCTGATTTACGAATAAATTCTTTACAAATCCTACCATGTGAATTCATGGATTTTTTTTCACATTCTGTCTCTCACAGTTGAAGTGTACCTCTGGTGCAAATTACTGACCTCTGTCATCATTTTAGGTGGGGGAACTTGCACAATCGGTGGCTGACTAAATACTTTTTTGCCCCACTGTAAATAAATAAAATATATAAATATTTACATAAATCATTTGCTTCAATAAATGAACTACCAGAACCTTTTCTCTACACATTGATTTCAGTTGAAGCCCAAAGAGTTGCACAGACAGATTAATTATATCAACTAAAACAGCATTTCTTTATCATACAGTTGAGACTGCACTTCTGTTGACTTCTTTTTCTTATATTGCGATGTCTCAGAGATTAAAGTGCAGTTAAACCTCCGTACACCGAGAGAAAGGGGAGTTTCCCTTTGAGCTTAAGTCCAGCCCACCTAATATCAAAGTGAGCTGTATGTGGGCCACTGTGCAAAAAGAGTTTGACATCCTTGCGTTAGAGGCAGCTCTTTTTAAAAAAAAATTATTATTTCTATTTGACTCTGCATCAAAACCGGGTTTAACATGTGGATTTTGCATTAATACATTTTACATTAACATGGAAAACGCATCTCCCAAATATTAAATAAAATGTCACTGCCACCTTCCAGTGGTGATTTGCTGCTAGAGCCTGGTGGGTGGGCAACACGTGCAATCCCACACATTTTGTGAGTTCCTGCTACGCCATTAACTAACATAAATAAAAACAAACTTAAAGGGGACATATGATGCTAATTTTCAACTCCACATTTTCCTTCTTGCACTCTTGGGTTTGATGCTGCCTTTCCGTTCGACGTTTGTCTGCAATGAGCCATTTTAGCTCCTCCCCCCTTTAAGGCCTTACTCTGACTGGCTGCTACTAATAAACAGACAGTTTGGACAAAAGGTGGGTGAGGCTTCTATGGATCGGCAGAGGTAAACATTAGAATCTTTCAGTTAATTATTTAATGCTCACTGACACGCTCTGCAGGGGTGGGGGCGGGGGGTAAGCCACAGAAGGTCATTGCTGAAAAGGCTAGCTGTTTGTGGAGTGCTGTATTGAAACACATTAATGGAACGTTGGTAGGAAAATGTACAAAAGCTACAGGAAAGACCGCAGCTTTGAGAATTGTCAAGAAAAATCTATTCAAGAATTTGGGCAGGCTGATTAAATTTGGAAATCCTAGAGTCTGGAGGAAAAGGCACTGAATCTAAGCTGTTTGAAGTCCAGTGTGACATTTCCAGCCATTGCTGACCATGTTATTACTGTGCTTGTGCATGGCCAGCCAAGTAGCAGGACCTGAACCCTTTCGATTCTCTGTGGGGTATTGTTAAAAGGAA